ACACTGTCAGAACCACCGCAAGGTAATTTTACGTAGTCCTGTGAAGTTTTGTTGAAATCGGTTGAAAAATGTAAGAAATCTGATCCAATATATAAACGAACAGACACACACACACAACCTGGGTTTTATAATAAGTATGATTCTTGCTCTGTCCTGGACATTGAGCACTACTCGATTCTATCCTCTTGGAAATTTATATATATATATCACTAATATTACACACACACACTGGAGTAATGGATAGTGGCTCAGAAAGCTGATTTTGAATTCCAGTTGAGTTCATTACATTCACTTATGTATCCACCCTATTCTCCAGATTTAGTACTTGCAGACTTCCATCTTTTCTCCAAGCTGAAAATACAACTCAAAGGTCGCAGTTTTAATACCATTGCCAAGATGCAGAGAGAGTTGAAGAAGGTTCTCAATTCACTCACAGAAAATGACTTGCAGGCTGAATTATGAAAGTGGCAGGAACACTGCGACTGTTGTTCTGCTGCACAAGTTGGTCACTTTAAAGGAAATGATGTCAAAACTTGGGTAAATTTATTAAGTTTTTCTTTTTTTTTTTTTTTTAATTTAAAAAAATTTATTTTTAAAACATAACTAGTCTGGGAACATCTGATACCATACACACACACACACACACATTATTACACACACAAATTATTATTACACACACACACACACACACAAATTATTATTACACACACACACACACATTATTATTACACACACACACACACATTATTATTACACACACACACACACACACATTACACACACACACACACACACACACACACACACACACACACACACACACACACACACACACACATTATTATTACACACACACACACATTATTATTACACACACACACACACACACACAGGGTTTGCGATGGATAAATTGTCATCTAAATTACACAAAAATGAAAATAACACTGACATCTCATTTTAACAGATATATTTACCAAAATTACACAAAAATATCTTGAAATGCTAAAAGAGTAAATTTTAGCAATAAAATTAGCATATCTGAGGCCCAATGGAAAGATGAATGGAGGCATAACGTTGCCATCATTAAAGATCACTCCGAACACCATGATGTTGAGCGGATGTATCAGCCAACTCTTTACAAATTCTCTGCACTATCCTCAAATTGACACCCAAACACCCTGAAATGTTCGTATTGGAGCTTCCGGCATGAATACCAAACAGTACCGCATGGCGGTTCCAAATTTTGGGTGGAGTAAATTGTGTCATGGTGCTCTTTTTCTCGTAGACAGTGCCCGACTTGATTGTACTATACGGTGCAGTTAACAAAATCAAAACAAACACACATGGGTGAAATTAAAAAAAATATAAAATAATGACAATTTACCCATCACACCGTGTGTGTGTGTGTATATATATATATATATATATATATATATATATATATATATATATAAGAAAATAGAAAATAGAAAAAGAACACGTTGGGCACATAATCCGAGTTCCTTAGTATTTTTGTTTTTATTTTAAGAAGACAGTGCTTCATACATAAGTAGAGCTTTATTATAATGTTTTTTGTTTAAAAAATATGATTCCTTTGCTACATAAGAGTTCTCATGTTTCAAAAACGAGAGCTGATTCCTAAAATTTTGCTTGAAGATGAAACGAGACTAAACACCTCAATTTAACTTAATTTTAATAATTATTTGGATGATTTCAGCTCTCATTTTTGAAACATGAGAACTCTTATGTAACGAAGGAATCATATTTTTAAACAAAAAAATATTATTATTATATATATATATATATATATATATATATATATATATATATATATATATATATATATATATATATATATCTTATTTTGATTTTTTAAAAAGGAAATTTTGGAGAAGGAAGGCTCCAATTATTCAATTTCTGTACTCCATGATTTGATGATTCTTCATAGCAAATTGCAAATGAAATTAAAGAGGAAACAATTCCTAAATGTGCCCCATTAGTCTAAAGAAAGAAGTTTTAATTCCAGCATCATTTGGTAGGGATGGCAATAAGGAGAGCCAGTGAGGGGGGGCGGGGAGAAAGAGGAGGCGGGAGAAATGTTGATGAGGAGTCAAGATTAGACAATTGCCCTGACCCAGTCAGTGGAGCCAAGCAAGTTATGGCAATCAGTTCAAATACAAAAGTGATAACTATACACAAGTGACATTTATACATTTAGACCATGTGACATGACTGACAAAAAAAAAAAAAAAAATACCCAAAGGAAGAAGAAGAAAGTAGTAGTAATATCCACTTTGTGAGTAACAAATGAGTTGAATGTGTTTTGGGACTCAAAGGAAACGCTATCTCTGTCTCTTGTTTAAGCATGAAAGTGTCACCATCAAGTGTTGACCTCATTGTCCACTTTCACATTTATGCTCTATCCCTGATATTAAGCATTTTAATCCACTAAAATAAATATATATATATAAGAAATATAGTCTGAAGGTGTGCTATATTTATGGGATAAAGTGCTCAATATCAGAGATAGAGTGTGTGTAAATATAAAAGTGAACATTGAAGTCAACACTTAGAGGCAACAGTCTGTTTTATCTTAGATGCAATCGTCCAGGCCATCGGTGGCCTGACGATTGCGTCTAGCATGAAACAGTCACCTCTAAGTGTTGACTTCAATGTTCACTTATATATATATATATATATATATATATATATATATATATATATATATATATATATATATGTGTGTGTGTGTGTGTGTGTGTGTGTGTGTGTGTGTGTTTTATATTAATAGGATATACTTGCATTACTTACCCACGATTTATATATATATATATATATATTTAGTGGAATCTCAATTTAACAGACTAATAGTGGGTGGGTCATCTGTTACAGCTGTGTGTTAATTTGAAGCACTTTTTTTCATGGCTTAAGAAACTCAGTATTGTACAAATAATTTGTAAATAAATGCAAATACAGTATATATGTATTCCTTTAAATAAAGTTTGAAAGTTAAATCCAGAGTCTGTTGGTCCTGGGACCATTAATTTAAGGTTTTACTATATATGTGTGTGTGTGTGTGTGTGAGAGATAGTCTTCTTCAAAAAAAGTGACAATCTCTTCATTTGTTAGCTTTTTGTATTTTTCATTCAGAATTTTATTATTTCCGTCATGTCTAGCCAAGTTAATGCTCTGCTATCAGCCTACAAGTGATTCTTAATGCCAGCTGTATGTCTCTTGCACACATGACAAACAAAATTTGTCTGTGTTACCCACATTGGACACATGGACAGTCAAGTGTACAATCATGTAATGTTCGAGATATAATAGCTGGCCACTTGTATTTGAGGATACCAGTCTACTAGGGTGGCTAGCCAATCCCTATTGCAGATGCTCACTCAGGCACATCTGTGTTTATTCAACACCCATAGAGCCAACCTGTGATTTATACTGCAACTATGCGGAGCAGACCTTAGTTACAGTTTCTGGAAGAAAGTGTGTTATTTAGTGTTATCAACAATCTGAACAAGGCAAGCACACTCAAACCCTCAATCACAATTCTATTGATGAGTGTGTTCCATCTACCCAATTTCACTCACAAGGCTTCAGTCAACCTGTGGTATGATTTTCAGGCACTTTCTAAGGTGCCGCACACCGTGATCGAAACCCCCTCCCAAGGCCTACAGACCTATAACATCAGGAAGTCTCTTTCCTGACAAGTCAACCATGGTGAGATTTGAACCCAGGTCTCATGGTCAAAAAGCGAACATTCTAACCACTATTTGAGATATATACACATACATACATACATGTGGTTCCTGGTCATCCATGCCTTAAAGAAACACAAAAGATTGTACCCACAAGTACAGCACAGACATTACGAAGAGCTTTATCTATGCAATTTATTTTTTATAAAAATGATCAGTGGAAAATGTCATGAAGCCATTTCTGACCCATGTCTCTGGTTGGGACCCAGAAAGAATTGTGTATACAACAAAAATCAAAGGAAATAATAATTAACAACAAATAATTATGTAATCAATAATGAGTAAAAAGTTAAGTTGGATCCACAATTATTTCAACTCAATAACCTCTAGAATAATTTGAAACATAACCATTACCGCTCACCCAATAACCATCAGGATAATACAATAGACTTTACTACCCATAATGCACCATTGAGCAACATATATAGTTGAACCAAAAAATACAACACACATAACCTGAAGATTGTGTTGAAGCATGAAACGGACTGTCGCCAATTGGTGTTGACCTGGTGTTAAAAAGAGAAAGAAAAAAAAATTTTTTTACTAACATTTGAACTAAGTGTTCGAATTAATGTTGGAACCAAATTAAATACCAAGATTCCAAATGCTGATAGGCCCTCCCCGTATAGAGTTTGTAGGGCACGAAGCTGCAAGAGTTATTTTGCCCACCAATTTCAGAAGTTTGTGCTCAAGCCCAGGAAAGCAGGCCATCCCCCACTTGGAATGCTAGTGGGGTGCAATATGATCTTGGTTTCATCTGATTTTGGGGCTAAACAAGGTTTAATCAACATCTAAAACAGGTAAATAAAAAAAAAAAGAAAAATAAGTGTTGGCAATTGCAGATAACACCTTATTTTACAAATACCAAGCAATAATTAACTGATCAACCCCCAAACCATTTGCAGCTGAAAACGAATGTGTGTAATTTTCTTATTCATTGCAGACAGAGAATTCTATACAATTATTCAGGGTGTGGACACATCCAACTGATTTTTCTCTTTAAGAGAAAAACAAAAAAAACACACACACACATAACAAATAAACAACTACAAAGGGTCCATGCTCAAAATAAATCTTACTGCACATTTACCAAGGTGATATAATGTTTACTTAGTCTGAATTTCTGGGATGAAGCGTTCTTACATTTGTAGTTGCTATCCCAACATTTCAGCCATTGTACCTTATGGCCTTCATCAAATGTGGGCCAATCTGGGTTACCTACAGAGAATTCCAAGCTTACGGCCATATCACACTGAAACACCAGTTCTCGTACAATTACTGATGTTAAGCAATGACAGGCCTGGTCAGTACTCAGATGGGTGACCTCTTGGAAATACCAGATGTTGTAAACCAAAATGTGCAGATGGTGTAATGGATTACAGCTCTGAATTGTAAATCAGAGAGCCGAGTTCCAAGTCCAGTTGAGATTATTATATTCACTTACACGCAAATAACCTTCAGAAATGTCTGACTCCACCTCTGTCCCCCCAGCTATGGGTTAATTAGTAGGACTCTTATCAGTCAATCATTAATATCTCAAAAAATAAAAAACTTTTATGATCTAAAAATATTTTCACCCTGTACAAAGCCTGGGAGCCACTCAAGGTAAAGGGTTACAGTTTAGAGGCACAGTTTATGCAGACATATGGGGAAGATAATGGTTAATGTTAGACTTTGACAAGATTTTAGTGATCAAGGAAGCATCCTCTTGAGAATTGGTTCCACGAAACTGCAGTTTGTGGGGAGAAGCTGCTCAAGTGGAACTTACATGTGCCAAAGGAATATGAAAGGAATGAAGATAATTTACTACAATGTGAAGAACTGGTGGAAAGAAATGTGCTTGTACCAAAGCATGCCAAATATACCATAGACTGAACATGTGAGCAACAACAAAGTTTTAGAGAAAATAGAAACTTATACTTAGTTGAAATTTCTAGAACAGATAATGAAGAAAGAGGGCTTAGAAAATCTGACATTCACAGGATATACTGAGAGCAAGTGGGACAGCAGAAACAGTGCATAACCTACCTCTTACCTGACATAGGAGTCAAGTATTGACCGGGACATGATCATGCTATGTTTCTCCTCATTTTAGATGAGAGAAGTTGCTCAGTGTTGGGGATTCCAACCCTGGAGCAACACCAACTGCATTGCACTAAAGAGGTTGGTGTAATACTGATGCCAGCATGACAGTGGTCGTGGGGGTTGGGCAGAAGCCATTTTTTGTCCTGGTACATATGCATAAGTATGCATATGGTGCTCTCCACATTAACACTTTGCCTGTCCTGCACATCACGTGATGCACAGGACATGAAAATTACCTGTGTCCTATGTGCTGCACACGAGCGATGAATTTAAAAGAGTTGTAAAACTAAGGATGCTTAAAAGAGTCTGCTATTGAGCAGGATGTCTGGAGAAAGGCCTTATCTAATATTTTGCACATCATATATGTCTACAGGTTTGGTTACAGCATATCAGCCTCAATGGGTTATTTAATGCCGACAAAATTTTTATTGCTGGTAATATTTTTTTTTTTCAAAAATGTATTGCTGGTATTAAAACCTATTTCACTTTCATAGTATTTTGACCCCAGTTTGGGGGTTAACTATTTATCCATAGGTGGGATCCCAACAGGTGCTACCATCCAGAGTCAGGGTGGACCTGCAAACACCAACAATCAAGAGGTGGTTCCACTCTTCTCAAAACCTCCAATCTTGTGATCCGAGGCCTTGCTGATGGATGTAGTTAATCATCATATCCAAGATGTGGCTGTAGCTTATCGTCATACTCAGGATGTACGACTACAGGACACTTGACGGATAATGTAAGGTCTCAAATGAAAGACATCTATTTTTCCACTTTACTGAAATGATTTTAACCTTTGCATCACATATGATGCAAAGTGTAAATAACTTATGATTTCTATGTCCTGTGAATTACATATGATGCACAAGTTTTTATTATGTGAACCACTGTACATTCTATTAGCCAAATAATAAGCTGAGTTGTGTTACAATAGTTATAAATGTGAAAACAACCATGAACATTTGAACAGAACACACAAATATGCCCTGGACAGGCAAAGGGTTAAAGATGAAATAAAACAAAATTTAGGTTCCTGTCGAAAGAAAGCTTCAAAGGCGAGAACAACCAAAATATTAACACTATATATCAGCAAATTCTATTTGCCAAATAAGCTGAGTTGCCTTGCAATAGTTATACATGTGAAAACAACCATGAAAATTTGGATAGTACGCACGAAAATGCCCTGGACAAGCAAAGGGCTAAAACAACTTTGTGTCACATCCAGCTTTGGTGGGGAGGCTGTGTGAATATACCTAACAAGCTTGTGTAAATGGTTGGCAGAACAAAGATTAGCAGAAATAGCAAAGACAAAATTTACTAAGAACAAGAAATTTGGAGAGCCATGATCACTTACAACATGAAAGCACACAGCACATAGAAGACTTGCTCGATTTTGACATCCAATTTGCTGCTTACATCCATTTCTCTTGCTGACAAACATACATTCTGTCTTCTTACAATTGACGATTAGTCCTTTAAAATTAATAGAATTCACTTTTAAATATGCATTCTCTCTCATTACTTATTCTTCTTGCATAACCGTCTGACAATTTCTCATTCTCTTCTCTTATAAAGCAGAATGTATTAACATATATTACCATTTCAACTGAAAATTTCTCTCGCTTTTATTTTCTTACATACAGAATGGAAGCCATTTAAATGACAAGATAGATCAAAAGAAAACATTCCTTTCCCTGTTGTGCTTTTACTAATAACAAAATCAAATACATTATTAATTGCACTGAATTACCAATATTCGAGTCTTTATACACAGCCAATGAAGGTTATTTTTGTCTTCAACACAGAAGAGTTCTTATTTGCTAAACTTTAAAAAAACTATGCTTCAAATTAAAAGAAATAGATCGAACTATTTACAGACAGACTATCATCCTCACTTTTGTTGTTGTTATAACAACATTTTGGCTGTTGTGCCCTCTGGCCTTCATCAGGTATGTCAATCTGGGTAACCTACAGGGAATTTCTAACTGAACCCTTTATTTAATCTACATTCGATAGATTTCTCTTGTTCCACTACCCATATTTATAGATATCATGTCTTGCTCTTATTTTTAGTACTACTCACTGATTGCTCACCCAATTTCTACAGAATCCAAGAACACACTTCCCAGCCCAGGGTCTGAACTCACTACTAAATACTTATCGTCTTTTTCTTTTTTTCTCTTTCATGCATACAACAGAAGAGGGGTGGGGGAAAAAAAAAAAAAAAAAAAACTGTGTTTGACCCACTTTAACCAAATTTAATTTTTTTCTTCTTTAAATCTCTTCTTCGTAGACTAAAAATGCAGTATTGCTGGGTTGGAGATGCTCTGTCTCTACATTCTAGTCTTGATAAAGTTAAAAATTGTTTACGCAGTCGTGTAGGTGACAACTTATTTTCTCTTTTGCAAACCATTTCCGCACAGATACAACATTAAAAAAAAAAAAAAAAAAAAAGAAAAAAAGTTTTCAATCATTTCACCCCAAGCAAGGCAATAAGGCCACTAAAACATAAGGAGTTACTGAGTGTTAGAGACTATCAATAAAAACAAAAAACAAAACAAAAAAAAAACACTATTAAAGAGAGAAAACAATAAAAGAACAGGAATTAAGAAGATAGAAAATAACATTTGATATTGCATTTAAATTTCTGAAAAATCAAAGTTGACTAGAAGAAGAGAGTTTCACAGGCAAAAAGTGCGAGAAAAGAAAGAGTTAGCAGAGAAATTATAGGTTACATCTAGCCATTACAACTGTATAATGATGAGACCATGCCGGCAATCTAATATTACCATTAGTAATGAGTAGAAAAGATACTACAATAAATATTCAATTTCCACTCCATGCTGGCAGGATGTGACACAAGGTCAGTTGAATGTGGGGAGCCCGAGTACATGCATCCAGACCAGGTTATAAAATAGTCCAGTCCCTGAAACCATCAGCATCAAGGCGTTACTACTGATCCACCATCTTTAGTGCAATGAGGGAGGTTCTGTCGTGAACACACACACTCTCCGAGATTGGGTACCTCTTAATAATATTTTCAGTTGCAACAGATACACCTGAGAGATAAAATGCATTTTATCTATCCAGGTACAGATACTACACTTTGATCTTGTCAGATGGCCAAGGAGTGACGAAAAGTATAACTTTAGTAGCATTGGCTTCTCAGTCAATGAACAGCAAAATGTTTCCTTATCCCTAATGGTAATATTACTCACAGCTAGAGAGGAGGAGAATAAATATTACACTTGGATCCCATTGAAACAGAAACTACACTTTTATCTCTAATGGAAATATTAGCTTTTTTTTCTTCTTTTTTTTTTTTTTTTTTAAGAAATGGCTAATATTACCACTGATATCCCTCTTTGGTTCAATGAGGAGGTGCTGCCAAAGGATTGGAATCTCCAGGACCAGGCATCCCTCATTTATTTGTCATTATATTTTGTCTCGAGACGGAAACATAATTGAGAAATAAAATGTATTTTTTTCTACCCGAATCCAATACTGCTCTTAGTATTTACTTGCTGCCCCACACTAGCAGGATGTGACAAGGTTTAATGAAGGGAGCCCAAGCAAATGCACCTGACCAGGTCCCAAAAATAGCCCCCCACCCCAACTGTCAGTTACACTGGGATCAGTATTACTATCGATACTCCACTCTTCAGTGTAGTGAGGGAGGTACTACCAAAGGCACCTTTCAATATTTTTAGTTGAGTTCTATCCACAGACAGACACACTATTGCGAAATAAAATGAAGTTTATCCAACCAAAAGTAGATATTAAACTTTGATCCCAGCCCGATAGCCAAGGAGTGAAGAAAAGTGTAACTTGAATAGCACTGGTTGCTCAGTCAATGAATATCAAGTGTTTCTTTATAAAGAAACAGCTAATATTAGTATTACAATTAGAGATGTTTGGAACATATACTACACTTTGATCCCAGCCCAATGGTCAGAAGTGAAGAAAAGCATAATTTGAGTAGTACTTGCTGCTCAGTCAATGAATACCGAATGTTTCTTTATAATGAAATAGCTAATATTACCATTACCAATTGGTAAGTTACTGTTGTAACTTGTAATAAGTTCGTTTTTATAAACTTTTTTTATTGTACTACTTCTGCACAGTCAAAAAATAGAGCACTTCCTCCATACTGGTTGACATCATAAGAATTTAGGTTAAATATATCCGGTAGCCACATGTAAACGATTTTCTTGCACCAATCAGAAGTTATAATTCAAATAGTTTCCAGCAAATCAAGTTTGAC